TCTCGGCTTGCTTTTCTCATACCTGATGCAGTGGTCTCCGGCCTAGGGATGCAAATAAAAGTTCAGAAACAGGAATTATTCATAAGAAATAAACTGTAAATATATTTTATGTCCATTATGCAAGAATTCCTAAGGGCTTGAAGAAATAGGTTGCACCTTCACTGCATCTGGGAAAGTTGGGGTTAACACTGAATGCAGCTGTATTGCCTGGGGTCAGATAGCCAACCAGCTCTCTACCTGCATAACGCTAACCTCTGTTAACTGGAATGGACTGACAGGAGACACTTCCTAGAACAGTATTGCTCCCCGCAGTCTAGGCCAGCAGAGCAGCAGAACCTCATGTTCCTTCCAAAACTGGAAATGTTTGGTGTAAATGAAGAGAAGGAGAAATAGTAGCTGAGGGTAAATGACTGAATAAATGGGTTACATAACGAGGAAAATCCAATGTAACATGAACTACTCGAAAGAGGCATAAGCAGGAGATGATATTGTCTCTTAGCTCAATTTTCCCAGATGCCTGAAAGGGTGCATCTATATGTTGCTGAGACTACTCCTGTTTTTGGACTGCTCTGGGATAATTGTTAATGACCAAACAGGGTTCTGGTAATGTGCCAGGTTCTTTTTACTCTTATGAGTCCTCTGATGTAGGAGATCTGTGATTGGCCAGGCACAGTGGCTCACACTTATAATTTTATCACTTTGGGAGGCAATGGTAGGAGCATTATTTAAGGCCAGGAGTTTGAGACCAGCCTGGGCAAAATAGTGAGACCCCATTCTTACAAACTATTTAAAAATTAGTTGGGCTGCAAAAGTAATTGTGGTTGAAGAAAAAAAAATTTTAAATAAAAATTAGTTGGACACAGTGATGTGCACCTGTGATGCTATCTCATTAGCATCTGAGATGAAGCAGGGAGGCTGAGGCAGAAGGAACACTTGAGCCCAGGAATTCAAGGTTACAGTGAGCTACAATTGTGCCACTGCATTCTACCCTGGGCAACAGAACAAGACTTTGCCTCTAAAATAAATAAATAAAAATTATAAAAAGAGATAATGTGGTCAGAGACCAGGGTGTGATCTGTGGTCCAATAAAGATATTTGGTCTTTGTCCCTGTTTCCTGACAAGCAGGTTCTAAAACACTTGCAGTCTCCTCAGTGATAAGCATGATTTTAATATGGCAATGAGACGACCAATGGGCTGAGGAGCTCCTAGGTAGCTTCAGGATGGTCGGTGGTTGCCAGAAACACAAAGTTGTGATTAGAGGATTGAAACTTTCAGCCCCATCCCTTACCTCTGGAAAGGAAAGGGGCTGGAGGTTGAGCTCAGTCACCAATGGCCAATGATTTAACTAATCTTGCCTACACAATAAAACTTCCATAGAAAAATCTAGAGGTTGAGTTTTAGAGAGCTTCCTAATCGGTGAGCACAACTGTGTGTCCACGTGCTGGGAGGATGGTGCACCCATCTTCATGAGGACAGATGCTTCTGTGTTCAGAGCCCTTCCGGACCTCGCCCTGTGCACCTCTTCATCTGGCTGCTCAGTTGTGTCCTTTATAGCTGCGATGGTTTGAATGTTTCCCCAGAGAAGCATCTGTTGGATAATTCACCCCCCATGCAACATTTTTAAGAGGTGGGACCTCTTAGAGGTGATTTGGACCATCAGAACTCTGCCCCCATTAATGGATTAAGTCTGATCATAAAAGAACCTGAGGCTGTGGGTTTGACCTCTTTTTCCCTCTGCCTCTCACCCTCTCTTGCCCTTTTGCTTTCTACCAGATACGGTCCCTTGATCTTGGAATTCCCATCCTCAACAACCATGAATCAAATAAATTTCTGTTCGTTATAATTTATCCAGCCTCAGGTGTTCTGCTATAGTGGCATAATTTAACCCAGGTTTCCCTAACCCCCAGGCTGTGGACTGGTACAGGTTCCTGGCCTGTTAGAAACTAGACCACACAGCAGAAAGTGATTGGTAAGTGAAAGAACATGAGCATGAGCATGACCATCTGAGCTCTGCCCGCTATCAGATCAGTGGCAGAATTTGATTCTCATAAGAGTGTGAACCTTACTGTAAACTCTACATGTGAGGGATCTAGGTTGCATGCTCCTTATGAAACACTAATGCCTGACCATCTGAGGTGCCACAGTTTCATCCTGAGACCATTCTCTCCACCCCCTGCCACCTCTGCTGGTCCGTGGAAAAATTGTCTTCCATGAAACCAGCCCCTGGTGCCAAAAAGGTGGGGACTGCTGATTTAGCCTATAACAATAATAAACTGCAATACTGAAAAAAAGATAAAATTTCAGAACTCCAAACTCACTCTATCAAAAATAAAAGTTAAGTTTGGAAACTGAGTGATGGAAAAACTGCCTTTCTTTTGTTCTTCTCCCCAGGTGGCCTCCCTCACAATTTGCTCACAAGATAATTCCTTGTGGGCCCCAACATCTTTACTCTGAATCAGAGTTTTATTGAGTTCCCCCTGACAATGTAAACTGACAGCTTATCTTCACAGGTACAGGACAAACACAAGACTAGAAATCATCCCTCCACCCACCCAGAGACAAACGCATATTTGACTTCTCTACCCACCATTTACTTTAGCTTATGTAAAATGCAGATTTACTGAGCATGAGATGAAAGCATAGTTGACTGTTCCTTTTTCCTCTTATGCCTACTCTTTCCCCTTTAAATGGTGAATTCCTCAAAACCCTCTTAGGAAAAAGCATGGGCCACAGATGCTATGGTGATTTGTGTCTCTTTCTCCAAGGTGCATCTTCAGCTTGGCAAAATAAACTTCTAAACTGATTGAAACCTGTCTCAGATGTTTTTTGGTTTACATGACAATAGCAACTTCCTGAGTTCTTTCAGTTAGTTAAAAAATTTCTGAACCTTGGGAGGTTAGCGATCCCTGACTTTGCAGCCATGTTAGACAGAAGTGCAGGTAACCTGGGACCCGATACTTTGTGACTTACATCTGAAGTGAGGACAGTCTCATGGGACTGAGCCCTTAAATCTGTAGAGTCTCAGGTGAACTCCAGGTAGTTAGTTGTCAGAATTGAGTCAAATTCTGGGACTCCCAACTGCTCTTAGAGAATCAGAAAATTATTTGGTGGAGGAAAAACCCATCACCATCCCACAGAAAGAAAATTATAGTAAGAATAAGCTTGTAAACCTCTACTTTCTTCGGTCCCAGAGGAAAAGATTTTTTAAAACGAAGAATTTATTTCATGTCCCTAGGTCTGCTAAACAGGTTGCTACCAGCTGTTCATTGTCCACACATGGAGTGGTCCTACCTCTAACCTAGAAGTTAGGATTCTTGAGGTTTTGAGGGGGTCACATAAAAACTAATAAATGGTATTCTCTCCCCAGAAATATTTCCACACACAAGAAAATATAAAGATTGACATAAAATATCAGTATGTACCCAGATCCTCTGAGATCTTACAAACCTGGGTTTTTAAATCCTAGTAAGAGACAATGCCAAGGGAAGATGCGTGAATAATCATTTCACCATCACACAATGCCACTCCAATAATCAGGAGTATGAACTGGGATAGACAAACACTTGATGTAATAACTTACTTTCAAGGGAATGGGTGGAAGGATGTTATTTATTAGTCACTGGTTCATTCCGACACTCCAGGTCCCTCCCAGGTACCAGATAAAGCTCTCATCTTGAATCACTGCTCTGCGAATTAAAATCGTCATGCTTTTCTCACCCCCCACACTCCAGCATTTGAAACCTCTTATTACATCAGTGCACCTGCTCTGACCACACATCTGCCCTCAACTCAGTTTCTCTCTGTCCAGCCCTCCTGGCCTCCTTGCCCTTCTGGGAACGAATACAGCGTTCTGCACTGGTGCATTTGAACAGGAGGTTCCCCTGCTTGGAAAGAATTTCCCCAAACATCCTTGTGGACACTTCTCATGTCCCTCAAATCTTTCCTCAAAGGTCACCTTTGCAATGTGGCACACACTGACTGCCTCAGCATAACAGCCACCTTTTCTATCCCCACTGCCCACAGCCTGGATCACCTGCCTCACAGCACTTACCACCTTCTAGCACTTTCCTTACTTACTATGGTTATAGTGTATCTATCGTCTGCCTCTTCACACTGGATCATATACTTCAAAATGCCAGAGATTTTTCTGATTTCACTTCAATGATGTTCACCCGAAGCAGAACCACTCGGTCCTATATCTGGCCAACAACAAAGGTCAGTTGAATGAATGATCACTGTAGAGCACCTCCCATTCTAAAGGCAGTATCTTTATTAACACAGACTCAGGCCAAGTGCTGTTTTGTGGCAGCTACAGCACAAGGTCCCCCAGTGCTGCTCGTGCCCTCCCTCCGCCAGCCCTCCTCCCACACCACCACCACGCTAAGATTGGCACTCTGCAGCACTTAATAAGGTTTCTTTCTTCAGCAAAGAACAGTTCTTGACTATGGACCCAATTTTATAAGCAAATGTAAATTGAAATTAAACTCTGCTTTATAGATTCATGGGTTGGGATTGGAGTCAGCACTAAGATCACTAGAACCAGGGCAGGGAGAGAGGGCAGGAGAGCAGGGCAGAAGAGGAGCCCTAGAAGGAGGGCAGGAGCTGAATGGGTCTGAAACTTTGTCTCAGAAACACAGAGACTCCGATGTGCAGGGGCTGCCCTGGGAGATGTCTTAGCTTCTGTGGTCACGGCTCCCACTGGACAAGTTTCCACTAAAGTGACAAGGACCATGGAGCAGTGAAGCTGACCCAGCTGAGGACTGACCACATAAAGCCCATGATGGAATCAACAGCAACTGGGCACAGGCCCCGTCCACACACGGCTCCTCACAGACTTCTCCATCCCCACCTGCAACAGACTCAGCACAAAAAACATTCAGATTCTGGAAGGTTCTCAGGTTTTTATTTCCTATTTGAAATTTTAGGAATTTACTAAATAACCATCAACATCTCATGGCAAATATTTGAGAAAACAAATTTATATTCAGATTCTATTTTCAGTAGGGAAGTAAGAAGTTGCAGCTCAGTGCACCATGAAGTTGAGACAGAGATGGAGATGCCCAGCCCCACCTCTCTGGAACAGGAAAGATGACTAGGGAGGGAACATAGGTTCAGCGTGGGGACAGCGGTCACGGTGGACACGGCTGGGCTGTTTCTTCACCTCCTCACATTATGCTAACAGGAATGCAGACAAATTCAGATGTTTTTGCAGAAAGTGATGCCAGAGGCTCTTGAAGTCATAGAGAGAGTTGTGAAGAAATCCTGAATCTTAGTCCCAAAACAAGAAAGCTGTCTCAGGCTACAGAAAACAATAGTCATGAATAAATTCAGATCAGTCATAGTAAGTGATGACACTCTGAACAGCCCATCACACATTCAAATGTCACAATCAAAGAATCACCATTACTTAGCCCTTTCCCCTCTGCCCCAACCCCCACCCACTTCAGGCACCCCCAAGGCCTCACCTTTACAAGCTGTGAGAGACACATCAGAGCCCTGGGCACTGTCGCTGCCTGGGGTAGAACAGGACCTGGTCAGAGCCCGCAGGAGAAGTGGGACAGGAGGAATTATCGGGTGGGTGAGCTCCTCCACACTCCCGCCCCCATCACTTACACGCAGCCTGAGAGTAGCTCCCTCTTTTTCCACCTGTGGGAAGAAAATGTCCTGTGAGTGGACAGGGAGGAGTCAGGGCCATGAGATCTTAGAGGAACCTCCTAATCTTGGACCCCAGAGAAGTTTCCAGAACTATACTACAGATGCAGGGCAGTATCAGGAAACACAAGGAAAGCAGGTGTGGGTCCTGGACCAACTGTCCTCCTAAGGCCTGTCCTTAGCAGGGACCTTCCCCTGACTTGTGAATGCTGGAATCAGGACCCCATCACCACAATCATCAAGGTGATACATCTGTCCTTTATTGTCACATGTGCTTCACAAAAGAATAAGTGCTGGCACACAGGGCCCCAGGCTGGGTCAGCCCATGTGTGGATGGTGCTTCCCAGTAATGAGGCAGGACACATTTCTACCTGGGGTTTGAAATACCCAGTGGAACAAAAAGCCCAGACCTCACCCCTCCACCTTTCCCTACCTGAGTTCTTCCCCCTCCACATCACAACAGCGACCACAGGTCCAGTGATCACAGATCCTAGGACAGCCAGGCCAGCAATGATGCCCATGATCAGGATGATGGGCTGGGAAGATGGCTCTGGGCAAAAGGGAGAAGGTGAGGGGCCCTGACCCCAGGCCTCAGCCCTGACCCTGCTGAAGGGCTTCAGAAGGGCTCCTTCTTTCCCTGAGAATAGATGTAACCACCATCCCCTTCCTTACCTCATCTCAGGGTGAGGGGCTCTGGCAGCCCCTTATGCTGCACATGGCACGTGTATCTCTGCTCTTCTCCAGAAGGCACCACCAGAACCACCCTCTTCTGGAAAGTTCCATCCCCTGCTGGCCTGGTCTCCATAAGCTTGGTGTCCTGAGTTTGGTCCTCCCCATTCTGCTGCCAGGTCAGTGTGATCTCCGCAGGGTAGAAGCCCAGGGCCCAGCACCTCAGTGTGGCCTCATGGTCAGAGATGGGGTGATGGGTCACATGTGTCTTGGGGGTTACTGACAGGAAGAATAAAAAAAATCAGGGAGCACGGAACTAAGACACCAACCAGGACGCAGGCACCTGGGATAATCTCCTATTCTTCGGAAAGTTCTAGTCTCTGAGGGAGGAACACCAGCTTCTGGTCCTGACCTGAGTGGAGGCCGAGGGACTCAGAAAATCTGGAATCAGACCTTCAAGTACATTGAGTATGAGGCAGAGAACAAGGCCTGAGAGAAAAATTCACAGTGCTCAAGGGTGCTGTGGATCTGTGACTCTGGTTGTTGCATTTAAAATTGTCTTCATTCCCTAGTGTGAGTTTCCCCGTGAGTCCAGAACATCTCCTGAATACAGAGAAGCAGGTTTGTTACTGTGTATTGCAACCAGGGGCCTGTAGTCATCACTCGGAGTTGCAAGAGCTCCATGCAGCCCCAATGCGGGAGCACTGCCTGTTTTCATCAACTGTGCACATCTAAGCAGTGTGCATATTTTATCTGGACACTTGGTATTTTTGTAACCCACTTTTCTTTCATCATTAAGAGGCCACTCATTTTTAGGAAGTTCCACAAAATGTACTAAATACGAGTGCAAAGGACCCCCTGCTAGGCTCTTCCACTGCTTTAGAATTCTTTCCCCTGCCCCTTTTCCTCACCTCCTGCTTCTCCAGCCCTTCTCTCTGCCCTCTCATCCCTCACACCCTCCTCTCCCCGTAGTCCCCACCACCCTGTCACTCCTGAATTGTGGCACTAACAGCGTCCCTCACTTCCTGCCCTTGTCTGTTCCCCACAGTGCTCAGCCCTCCTGCTAATGTGACTCAGGTCGTGTCATTTCTTCCCTTACAATGGTTGGATTCTGGTCTACCACTTTGCTATATGTTTTCAATTTGTCTCATATCTGACAGTTTCTGTTCCTCCTTTGCTACTTTCTTATGTGTCAAGTAAACATTTTTTAGCTTATGGTTTTAATTCTCCTAGTGGCTTTTGACTATGTTTCTTTACATTAATTTTTTGTTTTAATAATGGAAACCTGATTCCTTGACTTTTCACAGTGAAGTTCAGATAATGTTAAACTACATCCAGCAAAATAAAGGACGCTTCAAATGGTATAGTGTCATTTAACCTATCATTATGCTATTATTGTTGTATATATTACGTCAATATACATTATAAACTCAACAATACAGATACAATACTTTTTGTTTTAGACAAGCAGTCATATGTCTTGAGGAAATTAAGCAAATGAGTGTGTGTGTGACATGTGTGTGTGCATCATTTCTGTTGTTAATTGTTCCTTTCTGTGTATCTGGGTCACCATCTAGGATCATTTCCCTTCAGCTTGAAGAACTTCATTTAAAATGACATGTAGTACAGGATCCCTAGGAAATGAGTTTATGGTTTTGATGATCTAAAAATGTCTTTATTTTTGCCTTCTTTCCCCCTTTTCTTTTCCATTTATTAGGGCATTTGTGCAATAAAGTTTACCAGTTTTAGCTTCACTTTTTGGTGAATATTGTTAACTATTTGTTGTTGTGTGACTACCACACTGCCCAGTGAAGAAACACCAAATGCAAAGACGCCCTTGCTAGGCTCCTCCACTGCTTTAGAGTCCTTTCTCCTGCTCCTTTTCCTCACCTCCTGCTTCCCCAGCCCTTCTCTCTGCCCCCTCATCCCTCACACCCTCCTCTTCCCTCAGATCCCACCGCCCTGTCAATCCAGAATGGTGGCAGTGTAGAGAACAGTTTCTTTTCCCTAAAAACTTTCTTTCTGTCCCTTTCCATTTAATCCCTGCCTCCCACCCTCACCCCTTCCCTTCACTCAACCACTGATCTGCTTTCTGTCACTGCAGTAGTGAAATTTCTAGAATTTCATGGACATGCAATCATATGTTGTGTAGTCCTTTGGTCACTCAGCATAACAATGTTTCAGATGATGCCATTCATTCATTTTGTTGCTGAGCAGCTGCCAAGTATTGCTGGACTCCCAGTTTGCTCATTCGTTTCTCTCTTCTCCAATTGATAGACATGTGGATTACTCCAGTTAGGGTGTGTTATTAATGAAGCCACTATAAGTAACTGCTTACAAGAGTGGCCTTACATTTTTATTTCTTTTGGATAAATACATATTTTTGGGATCGCTGGGTCATGTGTAATGGATGGGCAGCTGTATAAGAAATTGCCACACTGCTTTACAAATTGGCTGCAACATTTTTTGCATTCCCACCAGGAATATCAGACATTGGCATTTGTTCCATATTCTTGCCAGTATTTAGACTTATCATATGTCTTTTTAACTTTACCTATTCTAGGTGATGAGTGATGGTTTCTCATTGTGATTTTAACTTTCACTTCTTTGATGACCAGTATTGTTTGTTATCTTTTCATGTTCATCTCAGTGACTTATCACATATATTTTATGAACTATTTTGCAATTTCAGTGATTAACTCCAGAGACTTTTTCAGAATTCTCTAGCGTTTTCTACATATGCAATGAAGCTGGTGACATAGAAAGATTTCATTTCTTTCTTTCTTATCTTTTGATCTTTTCGCTTTAACAGTTTTTTTATTTAGCAGGGATGAGATCTCACTATCAGGCTGGTCTCAGACTCCTGAACTCAAGTGATTCTCCCACTTCAACCTCCCCACATGCAGGAAGTATAGTCATGGGCCACCATGCCTAGTCCTTCTATTGGTCTTTTATTTCATTTTCGTGACATGTTACACTGGTTAGGATGCCTGCTAGGTGTTTAAACAAGAATGATGAGAGCTCACATGTTTGTTGACAAGGAACTTAAACAAATTGACGAGAAAAAAAAAGCCCCATCAAAAAGTGGCCAAAGGATATCAGCAGACACTTCTCAGAAGAAGACATTTAATTTACGTGGCCAAGAAATGTATTTTTTTTTAAAAAAGCTCAATATCACTGATCATAAGAGAAATGTAAATCAAAACCATAATGAGATAGCATCTCTCACCAGTCAGAATGGCAGTTATTAAAAAGTCAAGAAACAACAGATGTTAGCAAGGCTGTGTAGAAATAAGAATGCTTTTACACTGTTGATGGAAATGTAAACTAGTTCAACCAATATGGAGCATGGTGTGGCCATTCCTCAAAAATCTAGAACCAGAAATACCATTTGATCCAGCAATCCCATTGCTTGGTATATACCCAAAGAAATATAAATCATTCTGCTATAAAGACACATGCACACGTATGTTTATTGCAGTACTTTTCCAATAGCAAAGACATGTAACCAACCCAAATGTCCATCAAGGATAGATTGGATAAAGAAAATTTGGTACATATACCCCATAAAATAATACATCCATAGAAATGAATGCTTTTATGTTTTTGCAGGGACACAGATTAAGCTGGAAGCCATCATCCTCAGCAAACTAACACAGGAACAGAAAACCAAATACCACATGTTCTCACCCCTAAGTGGGAATTGAACAATGAGAACACATGGACACAGGGAGGGGAGCAACACACACCAGGGCCTGTTGGGGATGGGGAATGAAGAGAGGGCAGTTAGAGAATGGGTCAGTAGTTGCAGCAAACCACCATGGCAGACTGTACATATGTAGCAAACCTGCACATTCTCCATGTGTTCTGGAACTTAAAATAAAATTAATTAGTTAAAAAAGGACGTGCCTGTCTTACATGCACGCAGATGGTCATTGCAGCACTTTTCATAATAGAAAAGACTTGGAATCAACCTAAATGTCCGTCAATGGTACACTGGATAAACTCTGGCACATATACACCATAAAATACTATGCAGCCACAAAAAAGAATGAGATCATGTCTTTTGTAGGAACATGGATGAAATTGGAGGCCATTATCCTTAGCAAATGAACACAGGAACAAAACCACAAATATCACATGTTCTCACTATAAGTGGGAGCTAAATGATGAGAACACATGGACACATAAGGGGAACAACACACACTGAGGTCTACTTGAGGGTGGAGGGTGGGAGGAGGGAGAGGATCAGGAAAAAGAGCTAATGGATACTAAGTCTTAATATTTGGGTAGGTACTAATGGGTACAGAAATAATCTGTACAACAAAGCCCCACGGCCAAAGTTTACCTATGTAACAAACCCGCACATGTACCCCTTTAACTAAAAATAAAAGGTAAATTTTTAAAAAAAGTGCATGTCTGGGAAGAGCATACAGTTGGGTTTCATGTTTTTATTAAACCAAGTCCCACAATCTCTGCCCTTTATTGGAGTGTTGATTCACGTAAGTTTTTGTCATTGATATGATAACTTTTAGGTCTACCATATTATTTTCCCAGTTTTTGTTTCTCTGTTCCTCTTGTCCTGACCAATGACTTCTTATTAGAAACCACAGAAACAAACGAAAGTAGGATAACATCTTTGAACTGCTGGAAGAAAAAACGGTCAACTAAGAATTCTACATCCAGCACAGATGTCCTTCAAAAAAGGGCAAAATAAGGAGATATTTTAGGTAAAAGAAAATTAAGAGAATTTGTCACCAGCGGATCTGCACAATAACAACTGGTAAAGAAAATTCTTCAGCAAAGAGGCAAATGATACTAGGTGGAAAATGGGATTATCAGAAAAGATGAAGATGATCAAAAATGGTAAATATTGAGCTAAGTGCAAAAGGCTGTCTTGCTCCCCTCATTTACTCTCACTCTATATACATAGAATTGTTTAAAGATAAGAAAAAGTCTTTTTTTCTTGTGGGGCTTATAACCTACATAGATA